TTAATAACTGCGGAAAGCGATCCTCCATTGACAGAGGTAGTCATACAAAAAAAATTTTCGTAAAAAATGCTTCGATAAAAACGAAATATCACGGAGTACTCTTCCGTATAACTACCGTGACACTTATCACGAAACGACGTATCGAAAACATTAACTAATATATAATAGGTCTTAATTTATGTAAAAATTAAGATACTAGGGCATCGCAACCCGACAATAAAAATGATTAAGTAAACGATGTAAATTCATTTCTATGGAGCCAACAAAATATATGAAGGCCTTCGTAGAAACATACTACGTCGTTAACTACGTAATGTACAGAAAGTTCCAGCCCTGCTCTAACGTTAGTAAAGAGCTTTGTGCTATGTATAATCGTGTGCATTGCATACTTTGCTTCTCTTACCGGGTATGGAATGTGATTCTCAATGCTGATTTCACTAAACATATATTCCGATATTCTCCATCCAGGATAAATCAAATTTTTTCGCATAATCTATATAATCGATGGGTAAACGTTTTCCTGTATGTATTTTCTTTTTTACTTTCTTATTTCTTGAAAAAAAAATTTATATTATTATACTTTATTAGATTTTATAAAAAAAAGTACTAATTTTTGTCACTAAACAGTCTTTCATGTTGAAAAATGAAACTGATATTTAATTCCATTGAAAGTAATACATTGGAAATAAAATATACTCATATTAGACAAAAAATAAAATAAAATAAAAATTTCATTCAAGTTTTTATTTTATTATCTTCTGCACTCTCACATTTGTTATATAATATTCGTAGTCTAACCGTTATACGTACTGCTTTTGAGAAAGATGGTCTAGATGCGAAGTACAATAAAGAAGATTGGTTCAACATAAATGCCACTTGTTTATGTAGATTCATGTTATACTAATTAATCCAGACAAAACGTATATTCTTTGATAACTCGTGTACGTTTTATTTTTGTATACATTATGAATCTTGGAACAAAGTAATGTGCTGTATACAGTGCATATAAAAAAAATTTAGTATTCATTGAAAGGTATTTTTAAAACAGTAACAGTAATTTCTTCCCTTTATATAAACAACGTTTTAAAATATTAGAGATTTTTCAAGAAAAACAGTGTAATTATTCAGGATTAATACAGTGTTTCTGAATTTCTGTTAAGTAAACTTTAAAGCAGAACCATATTTCTCAGAAGCAATAATACGAAGTATTCAAATACGAGTACTATAAATATATTGAATTATCCTTCAGTTAACTGAAAATGATTTCCTTGAACTTATTCCTTTCTCGTAAGAATGTATAAATAAAAGGGGGCGGTTAAATTGAAGTTTATTAGAAACTTTCCCGGCATTTAATCGGTGTTACTGAAGTCGTAGTAAAGACGATTAATATTAGTAGATTGTTTTGTTATTCGACTAGTTGATTGAAAGGCAGTCACCGAGAATCCCATTCATAAATAAAATATTTATGTATATATTACGTGTATATATATTCTTTTGCTTTATGTAAATATTCAATATATTAATGTTTGTCGCAACGTGTTTACGTAAGTTTTGTTGCTTTGCTAAGCAGGAGCTGGTGAGAGTATACGAATAGAATTCCGTAAGAATCCAAACAGAAAGCGATCTGCATTGAATAAATCTGTACAGAGTAAAGTAGTGAATAGTTTGGTAATGGATGGCGAATGTATTGTCTGTTCACTACGCGTATCAGCCAGGTAACCAAACGCTTATATATACACTGGAGACTCCTGGCCAGTTAACAGCCTAAACATCGACGTGGGCATTGTCTTCATTAGTATCTGAAATAAAACATGAATTATGAAATATTTTTAGTAAAATACGTATATATATGGCTTGAGATGAATATTATTATTGTATCTTGTATTGCATATTGTATTGGTTGTTATACTATTAATATCACCGTGAATTCTAATTAAATTATTAACACACACTAATTTACAATTGGAATATTTCTTTATGATACAAATGAAAGTAGTAGGCAGTTATTTTTCCCAAGTAATCATCAGCAATTTTTAAAAATATTTGAGTATTTATTTTGATTGTTTCTTTTGTATATACGTTTTTTTTAAGTAAATTAAATTATAATTTCATAATATCATCGTTTTATTTTAATTTACCAAACGGTTTAATAAGGAATATACATCATGTATTTAATTAATTTACACAAATTTCTGAAACAATTCTTAATCTTTCCATTACATTTCAAGTTTAGTAACTTGAACACATATTTAAAATGTTAATAAAATTAATGGATAAAACATTATAAGATATCTTTATGTGACTATATTTATGCAAGATTATTGTAAAATAATGAAGATAATCATTATTCTGACAGATCAAACTCATTGCATAAAGGTATGCATTTCTATTCATAAGTATAGTATTCATTGGATGTAAAGTACACTTAAGAAGAGACTGTTAATTTACTAAAAGTTTTGAATCATATTCGTACAAACTGTTAAAACCAAGCGAATTGTGCTTATAAATAGATTGTGGATCTTCTTCACGTTGCAAATAAAACTTTGTGTTTCCCATTTAATATTTTCCATGTTTTAATACAAAAAATACATTGCCGTTTACTTCTATTTTTTTAATGCAAGCAAGAAAAATTAAAATTTGAATAAACATCTACAATCTAATTATAATATAATTATCGTTGTATTAGGTTTTTTAATTAGTAATCTACTATGTATTCTTTTAGCTGTTACTGGTACTGCATTAATAAATATTATATATTTATATATATA